TTATGGAGTATAATTCTGTTTGTAATACTTCCTTGGTTTCCATACGATCCGAGATATTTTGTATCTCCCCATTTTCCTTTCACTTCACTTTTTAAGCCTCTCCCTGAAGTATTGTTTTTATCTTTTCAAACTGACTGGGAGTATTCTCGGTTCATTTTACTGGACAACGTATAGGAATAAAGATCGCTCATAATCTTTTGTATGTGGCCTTGACTTCTCGGTGTTATCTCGATTCCCTTTTCTTTAGTAATCATAATCCTGCATATGGAGTACGGAGGTGCAGTCCATCTCGCCATTTTTAGTAGTTTGCATCTATGATGTAATGCAACATTGGGTTAGTCCAATTAGAACTGCAATAAACTGTTTTGTATTGTGTATGTATACCGATGGGATCTTGAGATTGGTTCTATTTATTATGCCCACTATTGTATGAAGCTACGGGGGGGGGATATTTGTTAGTTGCTACTACATTTAGAGATAGCCGAGGCTAAATTGGGCATATATAGGGCTGCGAGCTCTCTAAACCCAACCTAAATACAAGCAACAATGCGGGAATGGTTTTAGTCAAACAAAGTAAGAAGTTATCACAAATTTTATATTTCCATATTTTTTTACAATTTTCTACTATGGCGAAATGAGAAAATAATCCTATAATACAAAGGAATTTGATTAAACTATTCTTTTTTTTGAAAAATAAAAAAATCATATAAACACTGCAGTACCTTAGCAACAAAACAGACCTTTAAACAGTGAAACTTCCAAAGGTTTAATGATTGATCTTCGTAGGTTCTTTTATGCAACACCTAAATACAATTAGACAAGTTCCTCAGGCAGCAGCATTATATAAGGTTATTTATCTCGAGTTTAGAAACCTGTGTCCAATTTCGTAATGACAATTTGCAGTGGCACCTGAAATTTGCCCCATCTATTTGCTAATATGACGGCTTTCCCAATTACGTTGCTGAAACCTATCCACTGTTAAATTTAATGTTCCTTTCATTCTAACTTGGAAATCAATATAACTAACAAGCAAAGAATATAATACCATACATAGCAATCTTCACTACATGCAAGGAATAAATAGTTTTCGTATTAGTTTCATAAAATATTAAAATTAACGAGACCATTATTCATTTCTTTTATAAAGTTCGTGTTTTGTGAAGTACTGTTGCCGAGATATGTGAATTAGGTGATTCTGGACTGCCTGGTTGATTATCGAAACTAACAAGCATGTGGACAAGGACCATTCTTAGTAAAGCTTGCCTTGAGTATGCATATGTATTTGATTATTATTAAGTTTTTTTTTCACTTGCTAGCCAGTTCTGTATTGTGCTTCCTCTCCCTGGTACTGGCCAGAGAAGATTCCTACATCTGGTAACCTGTCAGAAAATCAGAAAGATAGATGGAGAGGGAGAGGCAGGAAAGGAGTGGTGGAAGAGAGAGAGGGGGGGATGGAGAGAAAGAGAGAAAGAGAGAGAGAGAGGGGAAGGGGAGGGAGGGAGGGAGGGGAGGGAAGGAGGGAGGGAGGGGAGAGGGGGTGGGGGAGGGAGAGAGAGAGAGAGAGAGAGAGAGAGAGAGAGAGAGAGAGAGAGAGAGAGAGAGAAGAGAGAGAGAGAGAGAGAGAGAGAGAGAGAGAGAGAGAGAGAGAGAGAGGGAGAGGGAGAGAGAGAGACAGGGAGAGGGAGAGAAAGAGACAGGTAGAGGGAGAGAAAGAGACAGGTAGAGGGAGAGAGAGACAGGTAGAGAGAAAGACAGACAGACTTCCCAAGTATTTATGTCCAAAAAAAAAAAAAAAAAAAAAGTTAATACAAAAATTGTAAATCTAATAACTGTTGTAATACTAACATTTACTCCTTTGCTTTCACTGGTGTATTTGAGGCAGACAACATCCCCAATCATTAAAGCTGCTAATAGACAAAACGTTACTTTCCCTCTTTACACATACTAATCCCTTTCTCCAGCCCAAGCAGACAATATCAGGGTATGACTCAGTAAGAGAACAGGGAGGTCTGGGGAGAACTCTCAGGATGAGACAGAACATTACTAAGAGCCATGAGATATATATATATTTATATAATATATACACACAAAGAAACATTTTTTTTTTTTATTAAGCTTTGGCATTAAGGATGAAAATGTTGGACTAAAGATGAGGTTAATTGACCCACAAGTAATATCATCCTTTGTATCTAGCTTAGAGTAGCTTGTTCACAATGTCTGGGCAATGGTCACGCTGGGAAGGAACTCTTCTATGTAGAATGAAAGGTGGTTAATATTCATGATTTGGTCTGGTGGTGTTCACAGCCCTATTGCTGCCATTCTGCTCTAGAAACTTTTTGCCCCTTGTGTTTTCTTGGCCACAGTAAGTCAGATAATTGACCTGCCAGAACAAAAAGGTAATATAGCCAGAAAATATCAAATGATTTATGGCTTTGCACATAATTTGTAATATGAAGCCTGAATTCTCATTCTACAGAAATTTGTGGAAAAAGTGAAAAAGTAAAAATACAAGTAGTCTTGACATCTTTAGTATTAACAGGCTAATCAAGAATGAATCACAGATGGACAGATATTATCTGTAAGATAACATCCAAGCTACCACCATCAGAAATAATACATTGCATATGCCTGAGCAGTGTAATTTCAATCAATGACTGCTTTCTTTCAATCTTTTTTTTTTTTCTTTTAGGTTCACTACACACAAATCTGTTTCACTGGTGTTATATTTGCCGAGTCATAACTAAAGCCCCAAAGTGATTAGCTCGAGTTAAAAACATTTGAGGGTCACAAGCATAGGAGCCCTAAAGTAACAGCATGGAAGCAAAGAGTTTATAAAATTAACAAATAAATAAGAAAATATGTTACAGGACACAACACGCTCTGCCAGTCCTCCAGTCCCGAGGGCAACACTTGCTTCTCTTGCAAAGGTATTAACCCCTTGGTACACAGCCTGGGTAATGCAGCGCCAATCAGCTCTGGGTCAAGATGCTGCAGTTGTTTGGTCACTTCAGAACTCATCCACTGCTGATCATGTAGCCACTATAGAAGTGGTTGTGACAAACTCTTAGGTATGCCATTCACACACTGTTGCAGCATGCTATTCCATGCAGAGGATAGTATTGTGTATTTTTGAAGTCTTTTATACATTCGATTTTTTTTTTTTATATAGCTGCTACAGTTGTATACCTTCCAGATGGTACCTTTCAAAGGTAGACTTAACATTGCATTTTATCATACAAAGGAATGAAAAAGCTACCCATATTAGGTCTCACATCCCTTGCCAGATCCTCTCTGACAGGGAACAACCAGACAGGCAGCCAACCCCGACACCATGAATGCTACACGCCATGAAGTTGTTTCCATTCTCTTAGCAAAAATGTACGTGTAGACTGTCAGGCAGGGGCACCAAAACACCTTTCCATAGCACAGCCGGTAGAGGTGCCAACTGGGAGTCAACATTCAGAGGAGTTGTTAGTTTCTGGAGAACTATTTGCTGCTGTTGGCTTCTTGGATCGCGTCAAACGGTCAAGCTCGGCAGCAGCATCTGATCGCATGGCAGCCTTCTCTGTTAGCAAAAAATGTAGGAACATTAAGAATAAACTATAGAAGCCCTTCATGCTAGCCAATATCTTTAAAGTTAAATCCTTAAACTTGTCCAATCTTATTCCATTTTCTACAAAAAGAAAAAGTTTACAAAGTTCTGTAGTAACAAAATCATTATGCTACTTACCATTAGTTTTTATGGCTCCAGGTGCTGGGGCATTTGTTCCAGTTTTCTTACTAAGAAGAGAATTGAAAAAGTTTGCAAGGACTCCTTCATTTGCTCCAGCAACTCCAGGCTTCGTTGATTCAATCTGCCAAGGTCAGAACTCTTTAATCTTATTTGGTCACAACCTATGTATTACATAAAAGTACAAGGTAAATCAGCATCACTCCCACATTCTTAGTCTATTCATAAATATGGTCCCATGCACCCAAAGATTTTTGAAGAAAAATTTACATTCAAATACACTCAAAATATCCTTGACAGTGCTTATATGTGTACCTCTTACACACACACTCTGTCTTGCCATTCTAAAAGTAGTGCAGCTTTTGTCATCCCCATGCACAAATTGTGACTGTGAGGATTGTCCATTGTGCAAACTATATAACACTTACAGGACACACTGTAAATCATCTGGGTTGGGCAGCTGTTGGGTCAAGATAAAAAGGACTACTAAAAAGAGTGGCTGCTATATGTTACTATGCTAATGAAAAAGTCAAGGGGTATGTCTAAATATATATAAATCTTTTATAGAGACAAAAAGAACTAACCCTTTGTATGCAAGCACATGTCTAATTTGTTTACTTTATCTGTTACACACAAATGACTCCACATGCGCTTAGCCACTAAGAAGTCAATCAGTAGGTCCAACGAGAACTCCTAATTTCCCCATTCCTCGAATCTTTTTTTTTTTTTTTTTTTTAATAACTACTATCAAAAGTTATTATTATCACTGATATTAAGGTCAAAATTTAATCAAAACACTAACAATATATATATATACATTTTTTTTCTTTATTTCTTTCCAAAAATCAAGGAATAGGGTAAACAGTTGAGATAGGTAAGACAAGTAATTGATACCTTGGTGACTAAATACTTTTGAGAACTTGAAGAGAACTTTTAAAAATCATGTTAGACCTTACATAAAACTGAAATTAGATGGAAGGAAAATCTATAATCTGCAGTTACATAGGTGAGTGAGAATGGAAAATACATCACAATAATTTACAATTACATTTGTTTCTATATTTCCAGACTGGAATGAAATCTACCCTAATAAAGCTTTGGTATACTCATGCAGTAACAACCTATTCCAACAGGAACCAGTATCTAACAAGCGGAATATATATCATTGAGGGGACATTAACCTCAAGCCGCCGGGTAGCATGTACGTACATGCTATGGCTATTGTGGACCGAAAAATGGATGGCATCGTATCATGACCATTCCCGCGCAATTGGCTCATCAGACGGAGTTTGTTTTTCTCCAATAGTAGCGGCTTCACTTATATGGTAAAGATTTTAGGCAATAGCACTTTGAAGGTAAACCTTCAAATTTATATTTTTATAAATTATAGCAAAATAAAGGCTTTTAGGTGCCAAACTACCGAATGAGCCAGGCACAAACGGGGAAACTGCTGATGTGCATCAACAATCCTGTTTTCACGTTCACTTGCCAAACTTTTTTACCCAGCAGCATTGGGTTAACTATAGCTGTGAGCACTTTTCTGCATGGATTGGGAGGGGAAAAAGAGAAAAAGGACATGACAAAAGAGGAGTGGGAGGGAAGGGAGAGAGAAAGGAAGAGAGGGAGAGAGGGAGAGAGGGGGTGGGGAGAGAGAGAGGGGGGTGGAGGGAGAGAGAGAGGAGGGAGGGAGGGGAGAGAGAGAGAGAGAGAGAGAGAGAGAGAGAGAGAGAGAGAGAGAGAGAGAGAGAGAGAGAGAGAGAGAGAGAGAGAGAGAGAGAGAGAGAGAGAGAGAGAGAGGGGGGGGGGGGGGAGGGGGGGGAGAGAGGGAGAGGAGGGGGAGAGAGGGGAGAGAGGGGGAGAGGGGAGAGAGAGGAGAGAGAGAGAGAGAGAGAGAGAGAGAGAGAGAGAGAGAGAGAGAGAGAGAGAGAGAGAGAGAGAGAGAGAGAGAGAGAGAGAGAGAGAAGGGGGGGTGGAGGGCTGTCACATCAAGGAATAGCCCAGATGTTTTTGATAATAGTGATAACTAGCATAATGTACATAAAACACAGTGTATATTTCTCATGTTTACCCAACCAAAATTGTACAATGAATTCTTAAAATGGTGAAATTTGTGCAACCATGCATACTTTGGAGAACTTGCAAGATTGCCATTCAACGCACACACTGTGATTGGTTTATTACCGTCTTTTTGGAAGACATCAGAATGATAAACACCACCACCAAAAGATTAATTTTCCTTAACCCTAATAGGGTGCATTATTTTGTAGTATGGTATGAGTACTGGAAGCTAGGAAGCAATTTTGGTTTGAAATGTTTCTAATTTTTTTTCATTAGATTTTTAACTATTAGAAATACTAATTATATTCTTTGGTAACTTCCTTCTCTCTACATTAATATGCCATGAAATATTTCACTTTGTCTATCCTACTGAGATCACTTCTGCGGACTTGGTAAATGTGTGGCAACAATGGATAAACGTTTCTTTAAAAATCAATAAACAAGTAATACAAAGGGCACTAACATCAATTGCTACAGAGAGGTCCACAACCTGAAGAATATACAGACCAAAGAACATGTTCAATTACTCAACTTCATTTGCATGTCCCCCCCTATCCTCCTTGCGGTTGTCTACATTACGCCTCTTTTCATCTTAAAGCCTTCCCTCCAGGATACAATGCACACCTGACTGGTCTTGCCACTAGGGCCTTTCTCAAACACAGCAAGTGAATAGTACTTACTGCAGCACAACCAACTTGTAAAAAAAATAGGATTCAAATGACTTTGTATATTCAAAGATGCATGATATGCCTTTTAGTTGCAGGATTGAACCAGTAGTATCCTAAATATGTATATTTCAATAAATGAGGTATATCAAAGTTTGTGTGCAAGACTGAATGTGGATTTACTGTGCACTAAAATTCTTTAACCCACTAGCGCTGGTACATTTTCCCGCCACCCACCACGGGCGACAAAATTAGAGCGCAAGCTCCAATCTAGTGTCACACTGGCGGGACACCAGGGATTTTTTTTTTCGTGAGACACCCGACACAAGTGGGTTAATAATCACAAATTTTCGCATTTCTCTTTTTACGAAATATGAGATTATATGCAGTGATATACAAGGCTACTGACCCCACTGCTTCAGTATTTCTCTTATTTGTGTCATACTTCAAGAGTCACATTGGTAGAGCACCAAAAGGCAAAGTGAGTAGTTGACACATAGAGAGAGATCTCATGAACAAGAGTGAAGGTTACTTACAGATTCACATCGGCAGTGAGAGTGTCATGCTTTGGTGCATGACATCTTCCACGTTTGGTAGGTGAATGATTTACGAGTTAAAATTCACCCTTCATACAAAGAAAGGGTCAATTATATCATTACACATCCCATTCTCTCTCAGGCAATGCCTCAGGGTATGTGGTGCAGGCATGAGTGTTCCTTAAAAAGAGCAGCATAAAATGTAATTCATGCATCACTGTAACATGACGTGAATGACCCAAGTCAGCTGTGACGTGACTATCACTTCACTCAGAGCCATGACCAAGTCGGCCATGACGTGAACCCTCTCACTGATTTCAATAAAATATCTCAATAAACCACCTCTGAGTTTTCTTTGCCAAAGACGTTAACATTAACAATATGGCACATCCTTTTGGGGTTAAGAAAGCTTCAAATTCACAGATTCAGAAAATGACACTTCATAATTTTTCATACTATCCCTAAACTGTTCTAATACAAATTACAAATAATGCAACTATGCATATCAAAATATACTGGATTTACTGGGCACTGGTCATAGGAAAATATTTACCAAATTTAATCAACTCATACACTGATTGCAGTACCAGGTTTGTATATCTAAATAAAATTGCAATGTCAGAAATGAATGCAAGTCTATAAATCCCATGCCTCTTCCACCATAGATAGGAATCAAGAAGCTGGAGGACCTAAGATAGGTAATGTATTCTAAGAGCTTAATTCTTTTACACCTTAACCCATTGGATCTAGTTGCATCACTCAAATCAGAGGGAGTGGATTACGTAAGTAGCCAACATCCCTGGCATGTGGCGTGTGGGTTGGGTGTGTGTGAAAACCCATGAGCAGTGACAAGACTGTGCCTTCCCTTTGCAGTTATCTTTTATAAACTTTTAGCTTCTTAGCAATTTTCCAATATCCATAGTTGTCTTTTGATTTGTTTTATCCACATGGTAAAATGTTATTTTCCTTACAAAGACTCCATATCATCTCTATGTAGTAAATAACTTAGTGCAAGAAAAAAAAAAGGAACATTTGATCACTTGTGTCACCTATCTTATTTTTTCATATCTTTCAATTTTCCGTAATAGAACCTGCACTGCTGGTCATTAACGGCCAGAAATATGGTGTGTAGAATGGAAATGGCATCCTCCTTGGAGCCAGAGGTCTTTCAGTCACAGCTTATGCACGTTACATTCCACATTCGTTTCCTGATGGGAATAATGCTAAAGCCCCCTTCTAAAGGCCAAATGAGTCAAATCACAATACAAGAGGTTTGTGCAAGGCGAGTCTTTTCTGTCACCTTTGCCTTCACTTAGTATGGTAAGTTCATGTCACCCGGCCCTTAACCCAGATTTCTCCATGATGGGACCGTAACATCATCCAGATTGTAGGGGTTAACACTGCTATTTTCAGTAACTTCAGGTCATACTACAATGTCGTGTTGCTATGACTCTGAGATGATTGACAGTTGTAGTTTTGCATGGAGCACAAATACCCCTGTAGCTACATGAGAATGAGAGGTGGCCTTTTACAACTTTAGAGTAGCATCCATAAAACTGAGTTAGTGTACCTCTATAACACCTGCCTATAACATAACCTACATTTTACAGCTATTATAATACAATGCAAAAGCCATGTTTGACCCTAGAAGAACAATGACTACTGACTCAACAAGAATGGTTACATAGACCTCACTTTTACAAAATTAAGCACAAAGGAGCTTATTTAGCAGTAAATGGGTTGAGAACTATAAAGGTACCAAGATCAAAGGCTTCCATGATATCTGATGAAAGAGTAAATTATACTTAGTGAACCTGTCTATCACAAGTTGACTCCATGGGATGAAATCTTGCATAATTATACTCAACAGTGCTGAATGGAAGTATCGTATATCAACACCCTGACCTTGTGCAATTCTGCTTAGCTTAATTCTGCACTCCAATATATCCTTCATTGTTAGATTTCCACACTTGTTATTTTGGTGTTTACAGTATCACTTTACCCCATTGATGCTGGAATGCCATCAGTGGGTCCACTGAGATTTAATTCATTAATTCTGTTTATGCATAGATGGTGATTGTAAAACCATACATGTGTAAACCTGATTCACAATGGAAATGAAAAGAAAATAAATATCAAACAAATAATGATTAATGATAATGACAATGAAAGAGAAAGAGAGTGAGTGAGAGAGGGAGGGGGGAGGGGGAGGGGGAAGGGGAAGGGAGGGGGGAAGGGATGAAGGGGGAGGGGGGGGGAGGGGAGGGGAAGGAAGGAGAAGGGAGGAAGAGAGGGAGGGGGAGGGGAGGAGGGAGGGAGGGAAGGAGGGAAGGGGGAGGAGAGTGAGCGAGTGAGTGAGTGATGGAGAGGAAAGAAGGGAGGGAAGAGAGAGAGGAGAGAGAGAGAGGGAGGGATGGAGGGAAGAGAGAGAGAGAGAGAGAGAGAGGAGAGAGAGAGGAGAGAGAGAGAGAGAGAGAGAGAGAGAGAGAGAGAGAGAGAGAGGAGAGAGAGAGAGAGAGAGAGAGAGAAGAGAAGAGAGAAGAGAGAGAGAGAGAGAAAGAGAGAGAAGAGAGAGAGAGAGAGAGAGAGAGAGAGGAGAGAGAGAGAAGAGAGAGAGAGAGAGAGAGAGAGAGAGAGAGAGAGAGAGAGAGAGAGAGAGAGAGAGAGAGAGAGAGAGAGAGAGAAGAGAGAGAGAAGAAGAGAGAGAGGAGAGAGAGAGAGAGAGAGAGAGAGAGAGAGAGAGAGAGAGAGAGAGAGAGAGAGAGAGAGAGAGAGAGAGAGAGAGAGAGAGAGGAGAGAGAGAGAGAGAGGAGAGAGAGAGAGAGAGAGAGAGAGAGAGAGAGAGAGAGAGAAGAGAGAGAGAGAGAGAGAGAGAGAGAGAGAGAGAGAGAGAGAGAGAGAAGAGAGAGAGAGAGGAGAGAGAGAGAGGAGAGAGAGAGAGAGAGAGAGAAGAGAGGAGAGGGAGAGGGAGAGGGAGAGGGAGAGGGAGAGGGAGAGGGAGAGGGAGAGGAGAGGGAGAGAGGAGAGAGGAGAGAGGAGAGAGGAGAGAGGAGAGGAGAGGAGAGGAGAGAGAGAGAGAGAGAGAGAGAGAGAGAGAGAGAGAGAGAGAGAGAGGAGAGAGAGAGAGAGAGAGGAGAGAGAGAGAGAGAGGGAGGGAGGGAGGAAGGAGGGTAGAGAGAGAAAGGGGGAGGGAGGGGGGAGGGAGGGAGGGAGGGAGGGAGGGAGGGAGGGAGGGAAGGAGCGAGGAGGGAGGGAGGGAGGGAGGGAGGGAGGGAGGGAAGAGCAAGGAGGGAGGAGAGGAGGGAGGTAGGGAGGGAGGGAGGGAGAGGGAGGGAGGGAGGGAGGGAGGGAGGCAGGGAGGAGAGAGACACAGAGAGCAACATCCCTGGATCAAAGATGATGATGAGATAAAGAGGAGAGACAGAAGAAGGTGGGATCAATGAGGAAAAAAATGAAAGAAAATGAAAAAAAAAAAAAGACTTCTTCTGAAATATCAAAGATCAGTTTATCTCTGCACACTGGCTACAAAAAAAAAAAAAATAATTAGTTGTTTTACTAGCCATCTTATTTCATTCTTGGGGTATGGCATATAAAAGTTCCTTTCCATTTCTCCGTTGAACATAAATTACCTTGACTACTCTATTTTCTTCTGCATTTCTGGCTTGAAGCATGGCATTTTAAGTAACAGCAAAACAAAGTGTAAAAAACTAAATTTGCCATGCAGTGGTGCATCTATTACTGAGAGCAGCTAAACACTAGTATCTACAAAAACTCTTCTGATGGGAGGGTAAAGAAAAAAAAATGAAAGCGTTTGGCTCAAGCTCATCTGAAAAGGAAACCAAATTCCCACTTCTTAGCCAATAGCAGTAGCAGCCACAGGGTCAAACAAATGACATAACAACTGCACACTTACTGAAGGTGGCCTCCACATCTACAAGCATGAGTGGAAGATAAAGTCTATCATCTACAGCACTTGGTCAATATTTGAGGCAGGAAATTAATTTGATTAAATCAAGAAAGTATCAGGTGAATAAATAAAAATTATAAATTTCTAATCATTGATGTTCCAAGCTAACTGATCTCATAATTGTGACAATGACTCACATAGCACCCAGAAGTGAATGGCACAAAGAAGCTACATAACATATGCTAATCACAGAACTAAAGAATGCACACATTTAGATAAATGACCTCAAATGCATAACTGGAGCTCCCAACAGTCTTGGAATAATTGCCACATAAAAGATAATCACAGAAATAAATAAATAAATGAAACAAAACAAAAAAAAACATGAAATATCATATCTAACACACACAAGTATTCTGTAGCAAGATTCTTTCCTTTTTGTTTCTGACATCTCTTCCAGATCAGATTCCGTATCTATTCTAGCTGCCTTTCCTACACGTCCCTACACAAGGCAATTTCTGTGTCTTTGAGACTGCCCTCTAGCCATTCCCCTATTCTCACCTTCTTTGGCGAACCAATTTGATTTGGCGTTCCAGTTGAAGATACCCGTCGGTCACTGGTCTTCTGTACAGCTGGTGACTGTCTAAGTGGTGATTCTTGACGACCCTGTGTAGCATTGGGTGCACCTGGGCCTCCTGCTTGTAACTGTGCTTGGTGCCGCGCTAAGAATGCTTGCTCATCCTCAGCCTGAACTTCCACCTCCCGGGCAACAGCCTAGAGGTAATAGAAGATATCAAGAACTGAACTCATATTTCATGCACTGTTTGTTTTCTGAAACAATCTTCTCCAGGGAACTATTCACATTCTTCATTTTTTCAGTATCCCTCTAGAGAGGCAGGATACCAACCTTACGAACCACTTGCGGCTTAACAATGACATCTGTATAGTAATCATCTGGGCTCATTGTGTGCATATTTTCATAAAGGATTGCGATCTTTTTATCGTTGTCCCAACCTGCCGGTCTGCAAAAAAATATAAATAAAAAATAAAAACTATGAAAAGAGTTTCATGTCATTAGATATATTAAATCATATCCCATAAACACAATGATGATACCTTGCAAAAATGTTACTCTTGAAATGTAGACACCATCACAAAGATACAAGATGACGAATAACAAATGAATGTAAAGACTATAACTGATTTCCAAACTTACATAAACACAGCATCTTTTTCAACAACAAGTGCTGGGGTTCTGAAGGGGAAGTTGTAGATTTTATGGACTAGATACTTGTACAACAGATCGCAGTTCTTGTCCTCCTTCACTGAAGTATAGAAAAGAGCTGCACCATACTGAAGGCAGAACTTTCGAATTGACTGCTGAATGAAGTCAAAGTGTTCTTCTTTATAATCAAAGTCCTTTTCTAAAATTGACATATAATCAGTCTGTAAAAAATAAAAAGAAATCTTAAAATCTCAATATGAATATTTTGAGAAAAAACAAAATAAAAAAATTAGAACAGTGACATTATGCCTGTGCAATTCTTTAGAATAGGACCACATAAAGTGACATTATACCTGTGTTTTTAATGCACTGGTGAAGTCCAACAAAAACTCTTCTATGAATTATCACTGAGACAGAGAACTTGGACTGGTCGCTTATTTAATAATAAATTGCCAGGGAGTTTAGCAAGATCTGTCTTGCCAATATATACATAGTGTGGGTTTCTTTGTTTTTGTTGGAGTACCGAGGCCACAGCTCCACTGGACTTTACTACTTGAGAACAGTTCAGTTCTACAGATAATTTTTCCTACCCAAGTTTTGCTTAATTTCCTCTTTATGCCTCAACATATTTTTTCTCTATCTTTGTGCAATCCTATTCTAAACATTTACCAACAAATTTTTATGCTAATCAATGTGCCTTTACATATAACTGCTTGAAATTGGTGTTGAAATAAATCATAGCAAGCCCAGAAGGGCAAGGAGCTAACAAATGCTGAACTGATAAACCAATAAAGATTCTTGTTACTGATATATTTGGATCATAGGACCATGGAAATGCAATCACAACTGCTTCTATTGATATAACAGAATTATTACTGAACTTCACTGAGGAATAAGGGGAAAATGGTATACAAATGGTAAAGACAGGCAGAAAGAAACATTTGTGGATATAACAAACTTATTAGTGTGGAAAAAATAATGCTATGCCAAAGGAGAATTATGTAAAACCAAGTTAGATTAAGGGTAACTACAGAAAAGTCACGTTCACAGTTACATTGAAACAAAAAATAATGAGCAAAGTCTTGCTGACTGGCAATATGCAGTTAGTTTGCACTTATGGAGAGTAAAACATTGTATGTGTACATACAGTACTAGTACCATATAACTGAAAATGTTATTACCCTCACCCAAGTCCATGTAAATAATGCTCTTTTTTCTGTACATCAAATCAATTTTCTCATAACTAAATATAAACTGGAATTTTCTGTCCCTAGAGATCTATCCAGAAATATCTATTGAAGTTTTGTGATCACTGTGTCTAGCTCCTTTCCACTTTCTCTCCTTTTATTTTGCTATCTCTAGAATCAAAGTAACGATCCATCACAAGCACAAGATTAAGTCAAAGAGATGGGTTTATTATTCCTGCTAGTCTCCAGCCCCCCTTTTTACAGGTCATTCTAATAATACATTTCAAATTCCAGAAACATACTGTCCTTGATGACTGCTTAAAAATATATCAATATGCATCCCATGCGGAGATTACAATAATAATTGATTTCTAAAAGCAACAAGAAATTATTGTTCCATAATTCAACCTAAGTTTAAATAACAACAGCCTTTTTAAAGGCCATATGTATTTAAATAACTCCTTTTTTTATAGAAGATAAAGCAAAAGACATAGCTGTGGATTATAACAAAATTATGCCAATATAAGGCAGAACCACTACAATTTTCAACAACAACTGGCTAGGTACCAAGGAGGGTCCCTGTGCTACACACCTTAGTAACTACAACTATAACGTGAAGTCCAAGATTTCTGGTAAGAACATTTTCTGGGAGAGGCAAGACAGGTTCATCGTCGTTCTCCAGGTTTCTTGATGACCGCTTCATGGGAGACCCAGCCTCTAGTTCATCTCCAGGCTCTACGTAGTCTTGCCATAACCGAGCCACTGGCGGCAGAACACATGATATTATTTGGCTGTGGAAGGTAGATTTTACTACGCCACTTCCAAGTGACTGGAAATGACCACAGCATCAATTCTACAACAAATTTTCTCCCTTTGACAACAGATTTTACAAAAAACGTCACAAGAATTTGTTCTGTTTGCTGTTCACTCTATATATTTTAAGAATGAAAGAATGATGAATCTTAACATATCATTGATTAGTAATTTGTTCTCACTTCACTGAAGTGGTAGGCTGTTATGAAAAATAAATGAATGAATCAATGAATATTCAAAATCTCTACAACCAATTTCAGGAATTACTCCTTCCTCGTACACCAACAGAATCTATCACCTGTCTCTATATCATATTCTCTCACAAAGAAATCAAATTGCACAAAAGATCTTGTGAAAAATAAGCAACAATCTGAATAAAGTAAAAAAATCAAAATGTATGAAAATCTTTTAAAATACATAAAAAAAAAATTACCCTCTGTGACTATATATTCCCTTAAATAAACTCTTAATACCAATATGAAATCCAACTTAACACCTGTCTCTAATTATGGACAAATGTGCAACCGCACAGATTCGCTTTGATGTCATTAAAACATTTTCAAGATCACAAACTATATATCTATTTTTGTAATCAAAGGAGCAGTCAACTACAATAAAATGCCATATTTGTGGATAAGATTTGTCACTTCTAGTTAGTAAAAGGGGTTCCATTAGGTTTGGCTTCAGCAGCAGTTTTCATGTGCTATTTGTTACATACTAAGATACACGAAGCTATCAATTTCTTCAGCAACAAAAAAGTAGTAACACAGCCACAAAATACTAGTAATAAGTCATACTGCAACACTAAATCTCAACCTTCTGGGTTACATGTGAAAGCAAAAACACATAAGAGACCTATCTCAAGGAGCTTACTCTTAT